ACGCTACTCTCATCCCAATACTCCTCATGTGGAAACTGAGACACAGAGAACATGAATAACTGGTCCAATTTTCACACAGTTTGCAATCTAATTGCAATATCTGGGTTGTAGATAATCTGCTAGGAGAGAAAAACATGACTCCTCTGTATCATGCATGAAAATAGAGACATTACACATGGGATACAATAAATAATACTCTCATTGGCCTTGGTTATCACCGCATCTGTACGTTGCAGAGCAGTGCTTGGTGTACATATGGTAAACACACAGTAAATATTTGTCAGTTGAATTAGTTGAATGAAGGCAACATTGTAAAGTTTCAGGACGAGAAAAATAAAATGGAACAAAAAGCAATATTTAATGACTCCTCATCACTATTGAATCACTAATTTGGTGTAATAGTTACAAGCAAGAATTCCGATGGGGAAGCAACTGCTTTAAATCTTACCTCTAGTTGTATACACTTGGTGATACTTTCTGTGAGCCTCACTGCCCCCATCTGTACTAGTAATTGTTCAAAATATTCATATAAAGAAATAAGTGAAGAAGCCAAAATGTCTGTTAAAATAGTAGTTTTAGTTTCATTGCTTCCAGCTAAGTTTAACTCATTTGTGCCAAAGATTGATTTTTTAAAATTTTCCCATGAAATTATATATGTTACTTAGCAAAATTCAAAGAACAACAATTTGAAGAGAACGCATTTCTTTATGTTCCATTGTTACAGGTGTTCCAAAAATGTATCAGTAGGTTTTAAAGGGTTACAAATCAGCTGCACTGGCAACTGTACATTAAATGAAAGAATCCACTCATCTCTGTCTTAGTTACTTTATCCCATGCAATATTTTTTTAAAAAGTATTACAGGAATATAGGGGAGGAGAAATTGTCAGGTGGAAGGAAGAAATAAGAATGAAGGTAGTGATAACCCAGGCAAAATAGAAAGTATGGGAGACAATAGATAGTAGGAATTACATGAAATAACTTCAGCTTAACAATTAATCATTTTAATTTCACTCCTATTTTAATTCATTTCAATCAATTCATTCCCTAAGAAAACCAAACCAAAGGAAGTAAGCAAGTACATTTGAAAGTGTGATGTTTTTATTGTACAATTCTCGAATTCTATATGTTAAATAGCTTTTGCATTTTCATTGTCCATTAGAGTATCTTTTTCCTTTAAAAAAAAAAAAACAGAATGATATGAATTTTCCTTGGCAATTGACACAGGCCCTGTACTTCTAGTTCTATGTGTTTGGCTTGAATTTATTAAAGTGCAACAATGGCCTAAAGCCATATTAGGGTATATCTGTTTAATGGCTGGTTCAGAGAACCAGACAAGCCTTGAAGTAGGTCCCAGTGAATTGGAGTATGCCTGCAAGCTGACACAGTAATTGGAAGTCCTCAGCAGAGCAGCAAAGTAATCAACAGTCACTGAAAACGGACGGTAGTTTAATTCTCAGCAACAGTCCCTCTGGATCAGGGCTTAGGCATAATGGCAGGATTGCACAGGGCAGCCCACTTTCCTGACTTCAATGCCAGTCTAAAGACAGGGAGGACCAATCATAGGCCATTTGGCATCTCTTCCAACCTTTATCTTTTATTTTAAAATGCTGCTTTTTACAGGAAATATCTGCTGTTTTTATCTGGGAGGAGTGGTGCATTGGAGCCATTCATTCTGGCCATCTATAATTCATTCTTAGAGCAAAAGCATTTAGGTCCCAAGCTCTTAGCAAACGCATTTTTTTCTATACATAAAATAAAATATTTTAATATTCTACTTCCAAGCTAGGTTTATTTTATCCTCGAATCAGAACAAAGGAGACACATTAAATGATAATCATCTGCTCAGTTTCAAGATGTTAGAATCTCATTGCTGACCTTTCTATGGTAGCCTGTTTATGAAAACAAATCACAGGGACTGAAGTCAGCAAATTAGGCCTCTATAAGAGAAGGAAAAAAGCTTTAGATTTAAGCAACAGGCTATGTTAAAAGCAGCTTGCTGTATAACTATGTTTAGTCAGTGAGATAGTGAACTGGAAAACCAAATTAGGATCTTTAATATAAAACTCTAGACCTTACTGGGAAATGCTTAAGAGAAAACTCACTGAGCTGGTAGAGCGATTTGTTATAGAAGGCAATCCAATTGAACATGGTAAGGTTTTTATGTAGTTGGAAAGTATATAGAAGAGAGTGAAGAAACAGGATAAAATTTCCACATTTCTTAACTAAAGATACTTGGGAGACAATCTATAAAGTAAATTTAAATCAAAAGAATGTCAATTTTCTACTTCTTATCCAAAGTAGGGGGAAAAGGGACATGTCAACACAATGTGCACATATAAATATAAAATACCGAAATACTAAACTTATCATGTGAAGACCAGAGAATGAAATAAAAACAGTGTGCACCTTCTCAAATACCTGCCTGAGAATTTTTTAAAGTGAATATTTTTCTCGTTTGTTTTTGTTTTTTTCCAAGGTGAGAACAGTGACATTATTAAATTGGAAGATGAAAATGAGCAAAAGTTTCCAGAATGTTCGGGAAAGGAAAATAAGCTGTATACATTTTAATAATTTTCAAGCCTGAACAATTCTCATTAGAAAAATATTTTAAAAAATAGTAACAATACTATAGTCTACTATAAAAGACATGTTAGAGATAAATGAAAAATGCATTTTTAGATTTTAGGAGTTCTTGGTGGGGAATATTATCTGGAAATCTGAAGAAATATTTATTTCTGTGTGGGCTTAGCAGTGGAAACTACCAAAGGGCAAAAAGTAATAAGGATTTTACATTGAGTGTGAGAGAAAATATTCAAAACAACAACATGTCACAATTAGTTATTCATGGTTATTATGATTTTGAGGGAAGATGATGGAAAGAGGCTAGAGATGAAACTGGCTACACACAAGGACTAATTCTAGAAATAAGTCATAGCGGCCAAAAGTGCAGGGTTACAAGGTGGAGACACGTTAGGAAGAGGGGATACGAATGTGTGTGTGAAAGGAGAGTCTTAAAGGATTCCTTCACTGATGTGATTTTGTGCTGTCCAAAACCTCTGCTCAATGTTCTTCCTCCACTTTTTGAGGACTCCAAAGGAGGAAAAAAAATATGCAACTAACACCATGAACGAGGTCCAGGGATAAACCTTCTCTGAGGCAGGATGAAATAAAAACTTTTAAGTTAAGTACATACACCAACCATTCATCCTGTCATTTGTTCAGCAGAAATGATGTGTGAAAAAGGATTAGCAAGGTGAATGACACATGCTAGTTGTCAGTAAAGAGGAGCAGCCATAATTTTTCTCATTGTTACTATTACATTAGTAATATAATTAGTATTACCATTATTAAAACTTTTATTAATTGCCAGATTGTTATCCTACATAACAATTTTTTGAGATCAGAAACTGTCATGGTTTTTTTCTTTTTTATCATTATAGTATCTGCTGTTGCATGTAATATGTCACTGATAGTCTTTCTATAACTGGTTAATGAATGATGGGATTAATGACAGAAAGATAAAATCTAGAAGTGTTTGCAAAGCTTCAGCCCTATGCATATAGGTAACTATAAATTGGTTTGATTATAGAATTAATAGAGATCTGCACTGAGGGATTGTCAGATTGTTAAAACAGAGACATTGTGCAGAGGACCAGATCTCTGATTCAAATATAAAACCATGTGAAGATGAAGGCAGAAAGAGTAAAACTGTGGTTAGGAAAAGCTTCCACGATAGGTGACAACATGTACACAAAGACATAGAAGAATATTCTTTTTAGAAGTAATGCTAAGTTTGGATCTTAGGGTGACTGAATGAGAGGTAGGATACTGGACCTCACAAGCAAATTCTGGTTTACAAATTTTTTTTGGATTACCATGCCAAGTTGTGTACATTTTATCCTGAGGGCCATACAGATTGATAGAGAGATTTTACATTGAATGATAAAAATAAATGATGCATTTTGGAAGGATACACTTTGGTGTAAGACTACAGGTAGGATCATGAAGATGAGAAGAATATGTTAGGAAAGTCAATAGAAGAAAGTTTTCAAGAAGTATCATCAGATGAATAAGAGGTATATCTTGATATGAAAATCTGGGAGGTTTGTGATATAGGAAAGAACAAATTTACTGAAGTCATGGGAGTAATCAGTAAGTTAAGGCATATATCAATGGCGAAAGAGAACCAACTAGAGTGTACTAGTCATCTTTCTTATCACTGGGAAACAATATTCAACACCTACAATTTAAAAGGGAAAAGATTTAATCTGGTTCATGGTTTCAGCGGATTCAGTACATGGTAAGCTGGCCCAAAGGAAGAAGTATTGTGGTAAAAGAGCATAGATAAACAAAGCTGCTTATTCAATGCTGGTCCAGAAGCAGAGCAGGAAGTGCCAGAGGAAGGGGCCAGGAACCGTATACAGTAGCAAAAGTCATACCTCCATGTTGACACATCTGTGATATGATTTATTAATTGCCCAGGAGGTACCCAAGCCAATCATGTTGACAAGATTAAGTTTAATTAATACATGCAGGTTATTTTTTGAAGTGGCTTATTCAGAAAGAAAAGTAGAAATATATAGTAACTATAGGCTAGCATGTGATCCTTAGGAAAATACTACATGTTCTTTGTTTTAAAATGAATGGAGTTTGAAAATGTTTACAACCACATAAAATTAGATGTAAAGTTGGAAGGTGAAAATAGAGAATGAATTTTCACTTATGGAAATAGCAAAATTATGCAACAGAAGTCAGGGTCTATTTCGTGGAAAGACAACTATTGTAGTTCATAGAGCCCAAACTCTGTGCTTCATTTCATGTTCTTCTGTGGATACGTTTAAATTACTTATAATTTTCTAATAAGATACCTTGCAAGTTGAATAGTTTATATTAGCTGATTTCAGGACCTACACAATAGCTACAGAAGTCAAAAGAGTACTTTAGGCTAAAAAAAAAGAGAGAGAGAGAGAGAGAGAATATTCTAATAACTGAAAATAAGCATATAGATAGAATATAAACCCTAGAAATATACTAATAAAAATGTGGTCAACCAATCTTTGAAAAGATACAAAAGCAAAAGTTCAACAAAGTAAAGAAAATATATGTAACTGATTGAATGCACATATGAAAATGAAAGGTCTACAATATAACCTTGTGTTTTTCATCTCATGTAACTCCAAAATACATCAAAGGCTTAAATTTTGTCACAGTGTATGCCTTGGTTACTTTTTTCTCACTGTTGATACAAAATAGCTGACACCCAAAGTAAAGCAAGGAAATGATTATTTAGCTTACAGTTTATGGAAGTTTCAGTCCATACTCAGCTAGTTCCAAGTCATGGTGGAATGCCTGAGGAGCAGCCATTCATGGCAGCCACAAGAGACAAGAATTAAAGAGAAAAAGAAGAAAAGCCCTACTTCTTCCCTGTCTTATATAGTACACTGACTCCCCACCCCTAGGCAAGTGCTGCACTCACAGGACCAGTCACAGCACTAGACAACAAACCAATCACAAAAGCTAGACTCAGCTGTCTCCATGACTGCATGAGGCTTTAGGAGGACACTTAAGCAGCCATAACAGTGTGAGATCAAGCAGTGTAGCGAATGAAAAATTACCCAGAGATGAGACTTAGTTCAATGCCTTCAAGGGCCAGAAAGGCTACTCAGCTGACAGCACCCAGTGTTAGGGAGACTCCCAAAAGTAGCACCAAAACCAACAACCCTCAAGCTCTTATTTAGAATATCAGTGCAAGAGAAAAAAGCAGAAGAAAAACAGTTTGGGCAAGGCAAGGCAGTTTTCTTGGGGACAGTGGAAAGATAACATGCAGACACAACCACAACATGCCTTACTGTTTAGCCATTCACTCCACACAGAGCCTGCATGCCTTTATCCTGCAATTTAACCATTCATTCTCTGGGCAAGTCCCTGATACATTGTCAAACATAGCTGTATAACTACTAGAGCATACCAGGCAAAATATTTAGGTGACATGACTTTTACTGGCATTTTTAGAAACAATACCAAGGTACAATCTATGAAAGAAAGTTAAAAACTTGGAAGTTTATTAAAAGAAAGTTGTTTGCTTTGTGAAAAATACTGTTAAAAAATGTAAAGACAATTTCTGGACAAATACAACTATTTGGAGCATATGTATCTGATAAAGAATCTGTATTTGAAATATACAAAGAAACTTGAAATCCAAAGATACAAAAGCAAACAAACCAATTTTAAGATAAGCAAATCTTAAGAGACCACATTAAGGAAGATACACAGATGGAAATAAAAGCATGTGAGAGAATATTCAATATCACTTATTATCCAGGAATTGCAAATTAAAACAAGAATGAGATACCAGTACATACTTATTAAACCAATTAAAAACAAAATAAAATGTCCAATAATATCAAATGCTAGTAAAGAATCAGAACAACAGAAATTCTCAGTCCTTGTGAAGATAACCAGGCCCCCACTGCTCCTGTGAAAGGCAGTTTAGTAATTTCTTACAGAGCTACTTACATCTCTCCAGTGATTTCAGCATTTGTATTCCTAGACAATTACCCACCTGATTTGAGGACTGTTAGTCACCTTTCTGACTAGCAGGTTTACATCAGCTCCCAGCTCCTGAGGGTTTTGTCTATACGACAATGGTAGGGCAGAATGTGATGGTAAAAATTAATGGTGGATCAAAGCATTGCCTATGGTCAGGAAGCAAAAGTGGAAGGAACTGGAATCCCACAAGCTCCTTTGAGGACAAACTTCCAGTGACCTAAGGTTGTGTCACTAGGCTCCCATATCCTAAAATTTGCACCATCTGTCATCTTGGTGATCAAGCCTTCAGTTATAGGGGTCCTTGAGGGATATTCAAGATTCAACTTCAGTAAAGTTCACACAAAAATGTGCATCTGAATGATTACAGCATCTTTTCTCATAATCCGAATCTGAAAGTAACCAAGATGACAAAGTAACCAAGATGAAAGTAATCAAGAAGGTGAATGGAAAAACGAACTATGCACAGCCATATATTAGAATATCTTGAATAACAGAAATAAATTAGGTACTAAGCCACAAAAAGATATGGACAAACCTTAAACATGTCTTACTAAATGGAAAAGGCCCAAATGAAAAGGCTCTCTTCTGTATAATTCGTCCATTCCATAGTAGTTGTGCCACTCTGGTAAAGGTAAAATTATAAAGAAGAATATCAGTGACACCTGAAAATATAGGGGAGTGGAACAGAGATAAATAGATGATATACAAGTGGTCTCCTGTACCAGGAAGGTTATTTTGTGTGATACTAAAATTATGGATACATAGCATCATGCATTTACCAAAACTCACTGAGCGTCTTAACATGAACCTTAAAACAGGCAAATGCAAGTTCAAGTTCAGCTTGGGCAGCTGAGGGACATGGCAAGATTCGGTATCACAATAAAGAATAAAATAAGAAGGAGGCTGACAAAGTGCACAGGACCTGAGTGCAATCCCTAGAACCACAAAAGAAAGCAATTAGCAAGTAAGGGGTTCTCAAGACCAAATACAGACTATGACAGAACATTATAAAGATCTGTTAACAATTTACCTGAAAAGGGTGTTTTTGGTTACGTTTTTCTCTTTGCTAAGGCAAAATATCTGACTCCCAAAATTAAGGAAGGAAAGGTTTATTTAGCTCATAGCTTGTGGAGGTTTCAGTCCATAGTCAGCTGGCTCCAAGGCAGGGCAGCATTGCACAGGGTCAACACTTCAAGACGATAGTAAATAAGCAAAAGCAAAAAGAGCAAAAAGGTGGAGTGGGAGAGCAAGTCCCTTCTCCTCCCTTATATGTAAGCAGGCTACTCACCCTTTGTTGGCCAGATATAGCATGCACACTGTCTCTCTGCCCTCCTCTTGCACAGGATGAAGATATTTACAAGGTGAGGGTCCTGGCTGCCTGCTGAGTTGCTTCATTATACTTTTAAACTTCTCAAGCTGACACCATCTATCAACCATTACAGGGGGCAACGTTATAATTTAAGTAACTTTGGAAATGAGTGGTCAATCTAAAGGCAAAAGGAATTGTGTGTAAGCACTATACTTGAGTTGACAAAGTTGTTTGACATTAAGGAACAAAGAAACCATTTCAAAACCCAATGTGTATACTAGTAAATAAAGTAAATGCAGAGAAGATGATTGGATCCAGATTATCCCTGTTGGAGTGGGAGTTACAGATATGCAAAAGAATACTAATATAATCTTTATGATGATGAATTAATGTTTGAGACATTGCTGTAAACTCATGTGTAGTAGCACAGATGCAAGTGGTGACAGGTACCTTTATACATATGTGGCTATATGTAGATCAGCATATGTGACAGATACTTGTCTAAGCTAATTTTACTACGTGAAAGGACAAGCAGGGAACTGTAAAACATAGTTTCTGAGTGTGTCTGTGAGGGTGGTTATGGCAGAGATTGTCATTTGAATCAGCTTACTATGTTTACAGAGTAAGTTTACAATGGAGAAATTAACACTTTGTCAGCTAGATGATCAATGTCAAGGACAGTGACAACTTTCACAGAACATATACATACAGTTGATACAGTGTGATGAAGATGGTAATTATGTCTGTGGTTTCCTTCCCATGACTCATAACCTTGGTTTAATCATGAGAAAAACATCTGGAGAGAAACATCAGACCAACTTTTTTTTTGGTCTTTTTTTTTCGTTTTTATCAGTACCGGGGATCGAATTCATGACTGCCTGCTTGCAAGGCAGGTGCTTATGCCGCTGAGCTAAATCCCCAGCTCCCAGACCAACTTTTATAAAAGAGAATTCTATAAAATACTTCAAAATTGTTAAGGTTCTCAGAAACAAAGAGAAACTACTATAGCAAAGTCTAATGAGACATAAAAATAAATGCAATAGAATATGGGTAAGGAAAAAAATTAGTAGGTAAGATAAATCATGGAATTTAGTTAGTAATAATAAAGTCTATGTGCTGCCTCATTAATTTTATCTTTTTTTTTTATCAGTACCAGGGATCGAACTCACGACCGCATATTTGCAAGGCAAGTGCTTATGCCACTGAGCTAAATCCCCAGCCCCTCCTCATTAATTTTAACCAACCTACTAGCAACTTTGTAGTGTACATGTGTTCATACTGAGAGAAAGAACAGTTGTTGAAGAGTTACCGTGCCAGGATCTTGGTCTAACTGGCACACAATAATTCAACACAAGTAAACAGCGTGAATCTTTACCTTCAGGCTACTCTGCTGAGGTCCAGCTTCAGAGGGGAGGAGTGTAATTCTGTTAACCTTATTGGGTGTAAGAACGCCTTGCGGTCAGTGATGAACACAGAGGCTTCTACAAAAACCTCTGGAAATCAGCATTGATATCAAGCTAGGATTAACCACCCCAAAGCATCTCACCAATACCTAGATGCCAGAATTGTTTTGGAGTTCTCCTCTCTCAGGAGGATAACTCCAGCTCTCTGCCCCATCAGGAAAACTAGGGATGTGAACTGAGCTTACTGAATGGAATGATTTACATAATCATATATCTTTAAAGTGCTGTTAATATAATGAGGAAAGAGATTTTTGAGAGAGAAAAAGATATTTTCACTTGAGATATAATGTGATGTAGATATAGATGCAGATAAAAATATACAAATATGAATATCTCATTTGTTATTTTCTAAATGAAAAAATATATAAATTTATAAAGCATTCATGGCATCAAGTTTTTAACTAGCCTAAGAATTTTATTTTAGAAATATTTTCCTTTTCCATGTTTGTATAGAAATTACAAGGAGTTAGGAAAACTGCGGAGGCAGTTAAAAACTTTCAATACCTTTGACATCAATACCAATAAAAACTATGAAAATGTGTTTCTCCCAAACAAGTTTGCATATGGAAATTTTCTGTTAGATATCTAATGAAATAACTTGTTCCAATTAGAAACATTTTACTTCCATAAAAGAGCAATGCTACAACGTATGGGAATGGAAAAGTTTTATCATGAGTAATAAAAATTAGACCAAAAGTGTTATGTGGGATCATTTAAACAATAATCCATTAAAAGTAACTTCAAGAGTCTCCTTACCCCAGTGCTAAGACTACAGAGGAAAAAGCCAGGGGCATTTCTAGCTCAGCAGGCTTCTCAGTGAGACTATTACAAGGTGTTTCTTCTAGGAAGGGATTTACCTTGTGGTCCTAAGAGTTGCTGGAGACAAATCACTGGGTACTCTGAGGACAGGACCAAAGAGTGGACAGGATAGATGGTTCCTCTACCTTTGCTAACAATAGTCTCAAATTCTTGCCCTAGCCATGAAAGTTAAAAAATAACTAAAATGGGGGCTGGGGATTTAGCTCAGCGGCATAAGCACCTGCCTTGCAAGCAGACAGTCGTGAGTTCGATCCCTAGTACCGGTAAAAAGGAAAACAAAACAAAACAAAAATAACTAAAATAACTTTGCAAATATTCTAACAAAGTAAACATTCCAAAACAGTAGAAGCTAAGTAGGATTACAAAGGAAAGAGGATCCTAGGCCTCATCTAACTTCTGTAATTAAAGACCATTTATACTGGCATTGAAACTCCCAAGTGTCAGGCAAGTGCCATCTGGTGCTGATTAGTACAGCCTCACACTACTATAACCAAGTGCTATTCTTGATATACTAGTTTATAACCAAGGAAATGTTACAAAGAAATAATTGCTCGAGTAAACATATTGCTACATAAATCTGCATTCTTCTTGTAAAGAATTATCAGCTTGTTGGTTACATATGGTTTTCCATGAGTTGCTAGAGGCCACCTGCTAAGCTACTCCAGAATCTCCTTGTGATAGAACTAAATATTAACCTGTTTATAAATAGTATTTCTCTATATCCTTAGAAACAAGAACTGATCTCAATTTGAAGAAGAAATTGTAGCAGACATAGGAGGGGTTTGGCTTTTAGAGCATAACACGTCTATGGAAACAGAATGATAGAAAAAGTAAAGTGAATGGACAGTTTGACAGGAAAAAGTCCACTATAAGCCATATATAACATAGTGCAATTCTTCATAATAGTTAATGGAATACTGACTCTTTCTATAGAGATGCATCTCCAGAAGCAGTACATAAAGGTGACTCCACATACTTTATGTACATGGCAGATTTCTAACTGATTAAGATACATATGTCATCATGAAGGGACCAGCCTTTGAGCTTATACCTTATCAAAGGGCCAGGAAGATGAAATACAAAGAGACACAGAATAGGATTAAAATGAAGGGATCAGGGGCTGTCTACTACCTTCAACAAAAAGTCCCAAGTAACTGGCCCATCCTCACTTTGTTCACTCAGAATAAAAGAGGAGTCATGTGCATCCCACCATGTGAGGTACATATTCAAGTAAACAACAGGATCTCAGCTGTATTCATTTTCCCTGCAGTGTGTCAGGACGCACTCGTGCCACCTTTCTCTCGAGTGCTCACTGAAGAGGCCTGTTAGTCTTTAATCTTTCTGCTTCCTATATGATCAAATTCATCAACTACCCAATGGCAGACATGTTTAATTATACCTACATAGGGGATATTGAAGATGAGCAAATTATAAACTGTCCAATAGGCAAGAAGAGTAGCCAAAATTTTAAGCTTATCATATCTAACAGAGAAGGGTTTTTTTTTTTCAATTATTACTATCCTTTAAGGTTAATTTTTATCTATTTTTAACCTTTTTATACCTGGGCTTATATTGTGACAATTACTGATGATAATTTTATTATAAAGCTGTAGCTTTGAATATGAATTCTGTCTAGTAATTAGAAAAATTAATATCGAAGCCACACAAAATATTGTTCAATCTTTGTGTGGCCACTGTTAATGAACTTGCCTGAATATTATCCAATTCAACTATTAAAATCTTAACTTTAAAAGTTCAATACAATTTTAGCTATAAAGAAATATCTGAAGTGACATTTCAGTTATCAATGAATACAAATAATCTAGCATTTTTGGAGGGCAAATCTTAGTGAATTGATGCCCCAAAGTAAGTTTATAAAATGAAATTTAACTTCACAACTCTTACTTTTCTTGGGTTAATACTCCTAGGAGAGACATTCATTTCTGCCTTACCATAGCCTTTAAAAACAACTCAAGTGGCACCCGGGTTTATTTCTAACTCCATTTCACACATAGCATTATTTACAAATGGCATTATCAAACATCTGAGTGCCAACAGCTCACCTTCTGTTGTGTGAATAAAAGAAGGCTCCGCTTGTTTGGCTTCCCACCAGCCACCAAGTGTGCAGGAGAATAACAGATGCTGCCCGTGGAGCTGTGGGTCTGAGGTAATGCAGAAGTGAGCCATGATTCTGCTGCCCTAGATGAGCATGCTGAGGGATATGTGAAAGGCACGGTTCAAGTAAGAGTGTCTCTACATGTTTTCCAGAATGTAAAAATACAGAATCTGAAATCCAAAACAGAAAAGTAGAGAGAAAAAGTAATGTTACCATAATTATCCTCCCAGATTCTCCATTACACTTTACCTGCAATCTTTGCCCTCTATCCAACTAGAAAGCATTAATTTCTTCAGAAAGGAGATCACTGTTCAGACCGGTAGGCTTCCTCACTGAGAAGGATGAGGCACATGGAGTGCAGGTTCCCCACGTAGCAGTCTGTGGATGGTTCTCAAGTCTGAGTTCACGATAAACGGAGGAGTTCGGCCCCACTAAGCGTGCTCTTGAGATAAGGACACTGATTATAAAATCTCAGAATTTTAAAATTTCCTTATCATTTCACCTGCTAGGTTTATGGATGAGAGAGCTTAGATATAGATAGTGGAAGAGTCAAAAGTAGAATCTATGTCCCCTGCATTCAAGGATGGGCCTTTTAAAAGAGTTGTTTGTACATTCCAGCTGAATCTCAGTGCAAGTAGGGTAAACCAAGAAATAACTGACAGCCTAGCAGATAGGTTTCCCTCCAGTCCAGTGTGGTATTTCTCCTTAAATAATGCGTGGGATACTTGGGGTTTTCTAAGATTTCTATCTTTATTTCTGATACTTATCAACATTGCAAGATCAACAATATATCAATATATTTGTTTTTCACTAAGATATACACAGTTAATAAGAGTTTTCAGAGAGAAGGTCTAAAAGAAATTTTCACTCTAAAATGGAAATGTTTAATATTTAATGGCCACCTCCCTCCACTGCTTTTCTGTTGTGAAAAATGTTGCAAAATTTCTCAAGTTAGAAATGAATTGTATTTTGAAGAATGTCTATGTTTTGCAGTTCTTTTGTTTAATTACCTATTATGTTATTTTGCTTTACATTTCATTAGCATTTCTTATCTATAAAGGCATCTGCATTCTAATGTGATTGCTTTTGTAGACAAGCTAGAAGACAGTTCTAGGCCTGAGTTTCGGAAAAATTTAACAAAGTTTATGGTGAGTAATTAAACTGTTATGTGTCATTTCACTGCAGTAATAAAGGATATGAAATCACAGTTTTTTAAATGACAGTTATTTATCAATATGTTTTACATGAGTTAATAATTCAGTCTTCTTATCCCACTAGGCATCATCTGTGCAAAAAAAAAAAAAAAAAAAAAAAAAAAACCAAAAACTTGCAAATGCATCAATGCTTTCACCAGATTCATATGTTTTATAAGTTAGGTGTTGACTATTTTGAATAACAATTGAAATCTCAAAACCAATGGAATAGACGTCTAGTTTTCAAAGACCTCAGATGAAATTACTTTGTAAAATTTCTTGCCCCCTCAAAAAGAAAAATGCCAAGCACTTAAAGTAATTAAAGTTGTTACTAGGCACAGAATGACAAAAATGAAAAGGTTTCACTTTCAGAAAGTAAGTAAAGTGACATAATGGTGGTACGTCACATCGTAGTGAAAAGGTTTTATGTAATAAACTGAAAAACAACAGCTTCTGTCTCCAGGTTAGTGAATCAACAGATTTTATCAATAAATGTCACATTATAGCATGTGTAAGATTTGTATGTTGAGGTTCAAGAAAACGTTTCTGCTGCAGATAACTGTATTAAACAAAATATATTTAATTTTTGAAAATACAAATTTTGTCTTGGAGAAACTGGTTTGGCATTGATATTGATGTTGGTGTCACTGGTATTAATGGTACCCCTATGGTTGTCTACTTCAAAGATTTCACTTCCTTTGTAAATTGATATCAACATACACTGATTTCTTTGCAGAAACGTCCTGAGGTCAAACATTCTAGTAATAAAATCTGGGGAAAAGGTTCTAATGTTGGTAGAAAAATGACTATCAAGATTAAATAATGGTTTTGTATTTTGAAATTCTTTTTAGCTCCTCTGTAAACCTATAGGGTTTCATGACTGCCCTGATGCATTCAGGAATCTGGTGAGGTCACCAAGAAAAAAAAAAAAAAAACTTAATCATGTGTTCGAGTTGAAAGGTAAACTGTAGATTCTGTTGAGTGTTTGTGTTTTAGTGTTTGAAGATGAAGAATGAAAATCAGTCTGCTTAATGCACAATTTTTATCACATGAATCATTTGAATAAGTCACTGTGAGACCCATTAGAAAATATTTTGCTTCAAATGATAAGCGTGTTGGATTTAAAAGCAAAAGGAATTTTTGAACAATCAGATGACAAAGGAAAATTTTGAAATGTTTTATTGCCATTTGGTTTTGTGAGTGAGGAAAGGTAGTGGTTTAACTCATGTCTTGCCGAAACTCCCTAAGAGAACCATAACACAAAACTGAGCAGTTTCTCCTGAACAATGACACTTTCTCTGAATCCTCTCAGATCAAAAACTTGACTTTGGAAAAAAGATGAAGTTTGTGAATTGTATAATCATCTTGACAAAAAGATTTTCATTTTTTTTCCAAACTATCTATCGATATGAAAGGAGAGTAACTTTTCATTCATAGGAAAGTGCGGAACCACTACCTACAGCACGCGACTTTTATGTATGAGCAAGTTCATTCCTACAAGACAGCAGTGAAGAGTAAGGATGGAGACTGTAGCATTTCAGTTCCAAACGAGTACCACTAATGCAATTATCTCAACTGTAACTCTGTGAAGCAAAACAAGTTTCTTAATAAAGGAGTAATTTCATTATTTTTGGTTTTGAAGTTAACACTTTATATATTTGTGTATTGTGAGTGTGTGACTCTATAGAATACTATATTTTTAAAATTACATGTGTATAATGAGTTTGTAACTACCACACCATTATTTTATGCCTGATCATCTATGTCACTGTTTGAAAAACAGTCATTGTCAAATAATTATGCAAAGAGTGATCTAACATTTTTAGAAGGTTTACAGTAAATCATTGTCAATAAATTTTCACATAGTAAATAACACAAATTGAAATCAATTTGCCATGTTTATTTAATTTAGTCTATCTTTGAATATAGAACATTCTTCAATTTAATAGTCATTTAATAGACCTATATGTTTCCTTTATGAAAAGAAAAGAACAAAAGGATGACTTCACATCCAGTAAGCTAAGTCTTAGTATCTAGGATCTTCCCCCAAGAAAATTGGATTATGAAAATCATGTTTAGTGTTAAAGAAGGGGAAAATAAATTTCTTCTCAGTGTACCACATATCTTATTTCATTAGAATCTTATACATGGAAATTTGTGATAAGATTATAAAATTTATATGGATAAGGCTTTAAAAATCAAGCAGGAAATCTAATATCAAAGAACAAAATTTCTTCTACCTATACTACTGAACTGCATTACTGTTGTATACAGAAGGACAGAAAAAGTAGGTTTTTAAGTTGGCCAGAATTAAGAGGTACTACAGAAAAAAATGACTATTGTCTAACTTAAAAGAGCATCAAGTTATAATAAAATGTAATTGATCCTGATTCTTCAAAGGCCACCTCAATGAGCTCAATGAAATATAGAATGTGTAATATTACACATGCAATAGAAATAGATGGAAGTGACTGAATCAGCTACCAACCCACAGGTGATGCTGGAGCAAATGTTTGCAGCAAGGATTAAAAGGTAATCTAAGATGTTCCATTACTTCTGATTACAAGATGTATGATGTGGTTTAGTTTCTTATCACGAGTTCTTTTCTTAGATATTAATTAATGAGTATAAGTGTGCATTTGGTATCCATAACATTAAATGACTTAAATATATTAAAACACAGTTTCTTTCTAATGTATTTGTATCTTAGTACCTCCTGTTATGGGTTAAAAACTGGTGGTCAACTTAACACCAGTTGAATTAAATCGGCATGATGCTGAGTGTAGATGGCCCACTTAAGGAAAGTTGCCAGCATAAAAGGAGACGTGGAGAGGAAGAGTGTAGCATTGTGGGTTTTCCTAAATGGTGTTGTTTGGAGTTGTTGGTTCTCCTGAAGGAGCTTGTCATGACTAGCTTCCCTGATATGAATTTGGCTATTATTATTGGAAGAGCTTGGGGCCTTGTTGGTGAGAATGGATATGATTACCTTTGGAAGAGCTCTGGTCCTTACATTGAGCATTGCTTGCTGGCTCTGTAGGGAAGACGTGCTGTTTAATCTCTAAGAGAAGCTTGTCATTTTGGCTTCCTGACATGTACTCAACTATTCGCAATGTCGGAGGAACTCTCGACCTCAGTGTTGCTGAGCATGGCTGTGGTGCTTTTCAAGTGAGCCCTGGTCCTTATTTTGAGCATTGCTTCTTGACTCCACAGCAGAACCATAAACCTGCTGGCACAGATCTAGAAAGGCTGCTGGCGTAGACCTTGTAGCTTCCATCACTGGCCTATTGGCCTTCACAGAGCAGAGCCATATAAGAGTATTGCATGAGTCATTGTTTTTGGCTGTAGACCTTCAGACGGACTCGAGGGAAGCATTGCGATGAACTCTAAGTCTTCCACTGGACTCATGCAGGACATTGCTGTGGAATCCAGGCCCTTGGCTGGATTTCCTAAGTGTTTAGTGTTGTGGACAGATTTCCTACACTTTCTTGTATTTAACTCTGGGTGACCATCATAAAATAATATTATAAATTCTGTGTCCTGTATATATTTGTTCTTGCAACCCTACTGCAACACCCCCCCCCTTGAGATTTACAGTTTGCAGCATTTCTGAGCCTTAGAAGTCTTACAAATGATAACACATCTCATAGGTACTATTCATTCTTCAAGCTAGTGTTGCCAATTAACAAAATTTGTTTGACTCTAATTCTAAATACATTATATAGTTCATGTTTTTAGGGACATTGATAGAACATAGCACCACTAATTCTTTGAAAAATGCCAATGAGGCCCTTAAGTACTCAAATAAAAATCAGGCATGGTGGCACATGTCTATATCTCCAATTAGTTGAAAGACTGAAACACAGTAAGCACAGTAAGAATAGCAAGTTCAAAGCAATATAGTAAGACCTTGTCTCAAAATAAAATAAAAAGAGAATACCTAGCATGCATGAGTTTGTGGATTCAGTCTTCTGTAATGAAGAAAATAAAAACAACAAAAAGAGTGAAATAAAGGAATATACATTGAGGCTGGCTTGGGCCACATAATGAGTAGATTGCACAGCTCTGAGAGTTATAATCAGAATGATGCAATCTCTAAGAAAATTCCTTATTTATCTTTGAAGTCAGTTTATTCATTTAGTTTAAAAGTGATTCTGGTATGGCATACCAGCCAGAGTTTCTTCTAGCACAGCAAGACATCTATCTCAAAAAAGAAAAATAAAAACACAAAGGAAAAAATATACAGTATTGTAAGGACATGTTCTAAAAGAGTTTGTTCTGAATTTAGAAAGAAATGTTCAAAGAAATCTAAAGAATATAAAGAGATGCAATTAATTGGGAAAAATAATTCTAGCAACATTAGTAACTTTATACTCTGAGTAGAAATGCAAATCCTGAACACAATTTCTCCTTGATGAGTTTAGAATTTAACTCAACAGTAGGCTAAGGTCTTGAGGCATTAGCTATGCAGTTTTTCACTTCTCTGCAGGGCTTGATAACACTGATTAAATTTTCTCAGTTAAGATTTTATTTATTCTTGAAACAAAAAGTTAAATGTTGTTTAAATTTAAAATTTCATCTAGCTATTAAAAGACCCAACAAAAATGTGCTTGTATTTGTATAAACAACTTATCTTCTGAAACAATATGTGCTGTGAGGATAATTGCAGATCATAAAACCACTTCCTTCAGTTCCACCAAGTGGTTCCAATTTAAAAGGCTTTGGATATCATCTGTTGGGGAGTGTGTTTTGATCAATTTCTCCCAGATTGTCCAGATCTGGGACTTATAATCAGAATGAAACAAGGGCTAAAAACATTTCTAATTTATACTTGATGTAAGTTTATTCATTTAGTTTAAAAAACTGATTCTAGTTTTGCATTCCAACCAAGTTTCTTCCCAGAATTCCAGGTTCATAAATTATCTTTACTTGATCCATTAATATAGGTATCTACCAGCCTTACAAATTTAACCCAGTTAACACAGAATTTTCAGTCTTTACACTTCGCCCACCAAAGTACTCCATCTCAGTGTTCCCTCTTTGGCAGTAAAAGGCAGCACCTTTAGGTCAGGGCAGTCCACCAAGGAATTGTACTTGAGTTTTTGTTTTCAGA